TTTCGAGCCTTTATCCTTTTACATCGGTGTGTCCCCGGAAGTTGACCCAAAGGATGAGTTCTCCAAATGAGAGTAGGAATAAATTGATAACAGGCATATGCACTTGTTTATAGCTCTCAGTTCTATCCAGTTAGACAGTGCTGTGAGATTGGTAGACGCAACCCTGTCCTGTGTGACAGGCGCCGGATTTGTATCCTGTCTTTTCATGGGACCAGGCGTTTCCTCTGCTATGTTATGGCTGGTAGTCTCCGCAGGCGCATTTGCAACATAGTTTCAACACTTGATGCTGTACTCTTATATTGGCGGAGTTCGTAGCACACATGCCCTGAGCAAGCACGCAGGATTCACTAAGTGCGGTGTAACGCGTTAGAGGCCATGCGCTATAAATATGCTCAGGCATTCATTGCCGAAAGTACGCTCTGCCAAATAAAAGTGTGACTGTCGCTACTAAAGGAGGTTTTACAAGACAGCACTCGCTATGATCGCAGGGGGAAATGAGCTCACCTGAGCGCGAGGCGCTGTCCCAAGTTATCTTCAAGCCGCTGCAGTCCAAAAAGACAGTTTACACTGCGCCAAAGTGAATATCACGAATAATATTGGCTGAGACATCTAGACGGAGCCTTGTCCCTTAGGTGGAATATTACTTAATGAACAGCTTTGCGTATTGTTTACTCCTAACTACCTCGCCTTTATCCACTGTTTCGTGCCTTGGAGGACGGTGGATTGCTACAGACTCTGAAAAGGAAATAACTAGCCAGTTTCTCACAGTGTTGTTTATATCTCTCGACTAAATAGTGGATAAATAGAAGTAAAACAGCAAGAGGCTGGCGTGTACTAGTTGGTTTTTATCTCATTTGGTGCCGTTGAAGCGCTAGAGACGGAGATGATGAGCGAATTGCTGACACATGTGGACCCATATATCCCACAGAGTTTGTCATCTTGAGCAGAGACTCCAAGAGTACTTTATTTTACCTTGAATTGCGCTTTCGTTGTGCTAAGGCAAATGCACTAGGGCAGCTACCTATGCCGGACGCCGATTACCGAGAGTTGGATTCGTTTCACTCTCTCGGAACGTAACGGCTGGCGTGGCGTAGACCACCACAGTCCAGTAGTGCCTAAACGGTGTGAAAAGTCTGCGTGAGCAACAAATGTCTTCGTGAGATTCTTCAAGGCTTCGCTCCGGCGGCAGAGGTCGTTCAGCGTACCTTCCTAGGGTTTTGCTTTTGGAAGAGCGGCCAGAAAGAAACCCTGAGTGCGCCTGAGGAATCACCTGTTAATTCTACACAAAACATCCACTCAGATCCAAACAAAGCATCAGCATAGACCGCAGTGGCTCAGAGCTTGGAAACGATTTTCACTATGTGACCAGCAATGGCCTACATTTCCTACCTATTTTGTTTGCTCCACGTAGTGAGATCGCCTCTACCCACCCAGATCCTAAATAGTTCTCCTAGCTTGCTGCAGACGTGCGTGCACCTCTCCAAGCGGCAAAGTGATCGACCAATGATTTGAATAAACCATTCTTATCTTTTTGCTTCATTCGAGTTGCTCCAATGTTCCTGTTGCTGCCGGCAGCATCTGTATCACTACCGGCCCCAAACACTGACTACTGGGTGCAGAACACCTCGAGACTGGCGTCAACCAAGAGCCATGTTTATTATTTGAAGTAATTATACTGACTCTCATGCCTTAAAATAAAACATTTAAAAACATCTGAAGGCTGTCAGTTCGCAGCATTGTAATAGTACACACTGCATCTTGGCTTCCGTTGTTATGGAGATGAATGCTACACAAAAGCACCTGAAAGGTTTGCGATAGTTTGCACCTTTGACATCCATTGAACGCAAGTGTAGCGCTTGCTCATACTCTTGTGGCCAAGTCGTTGCGTCATGTTCGGACTTCAAATTCCCACGGGAAGGTACATACTTATTGCATGGTTGGATCTGTTCCTTCAAGTGTTTGCGCCTGAGCCCCAAAACGGTGCTGGCAAGTCAAACCGGCTCCAAGGAGCGTTATCACTCCACATAAGCAGACATTTACGCCTTTGAATAGCATGAATTTCTTCTTGGCCCTTTGCTTGTAGCATTTGTGCACCCGGCAGACCGTTGGCAGATCACCTTGGGATGACTCCTTCAGGTTTTGGAACGCTATGAAAAGCTGGGACAACGCATGCTGTACACACCGCAAAAGAGTGTGAACATTCGTTAGTGGGGCAAGAGATAAGTGAAAAGTCTGGACATAGCGGGGAAGTCTAGCCAGCTGTCAGGCCATCTGCCCTAAGGCTACTACGATACCAAATTATCTAGATGACAGCATAGGAGCTGCACCAAATACTGCTCCTTTGGGTCGATCTATCTGGTCTTGAGAGGTGGCGTATTTTGCTCAGCAAAAGACGAGAAGCACGAGCGGCGCTGGGGGCACGTGCACCGACGCATCTAGGGATGATCATTAATTAACGATTGCATCTAGGGATATATGGAAGGTCTCCCAATCAAATAAATATCATGGCAAAGCTCCCGCAATATTGCATCCGGGGAACGATGACAGGCGATGGTCCGACGGCCGTGGAGTAGTGCATGCGCTCACGAAAAATAAGAACATTACCAGCATTTGCTGCTAAATTCCAGGGAGATGGCAACAAACAGCTGTCCCAGCGGATGTTTCGGCCTCTGCCATGAATAGCAAGGCGCGCTACAGTCGCCCTGCTCTTTTCTTAGCCTTTCACGCACTGGGCAGAATTGTCATAAAAGAAGCAAAAGCTGCAAAGACACTTATATTGTGTATATATGTAGGGCCTCGTCATGGGATACTCGCAGCAACACTGACAGTCCGGTAGCAAGTCTTTACAGCGACGATGTTGCGCGAATGAAAAGGTCGGTATACAGACGATCTACAGTGCACTGAAACACTGCAAAGTAATTTCGTGATAGAAAACTAGATGCTGCAATTCACGCCTACACTTTGGTCCTGCGCATTTATTAGTAAGCTTTGCCTTTACTAGAATCACTTGCATTCGACTGCGGCCTGTTACTTGAATGTTGCGGGAGGCGAAGCACCTTCGCCAGTATCTCTTCGCTAAGATAAACATTGTTTCCATGTTGTGCCTTGAAAGTTGCTATGGCAGTCCTGAGACGCTACAGTGCATTCCTAGGAGGTACAGATCAAACAAATAACTGAAGAAAACGCGTTTTTAGAAGATAAATATGCCCTAAGCAGTGTACTTATATTGTCTGATATGGCTTGTGACAAAGCAAACTACTCATCCAAATTTGTGTTCGTATATGGTCCCGAAGACGGGATTCAAAATGTTGGCGAGTGACGATACACGTTAAATCGGGGACTCTGCGGCCCTGGCAACTCACCCTGAGCTAGTTCGAATAACCAGAAGCATCGCTAGAGCTACGCACGAAAGAGATGCAAAACGTGCAGTGTTCCCGAACCTATTTATCTCCAGTTGTGAGGGAGAAATTCAACGCTTATATGACAATATAATGGAATAAATGTAAAGACACTAAATTATAGTGGATAGTAGAAGCTGAAGTGGGTCCTCCGGTACTAAAGGAGCTCACAACTGGTTCCTCCCTATGCTGGCTACGGGCATCTCTGGGTCGGGCGAAGTCGGCTCCTTTATCAAAAAGGGTCATTTAAAGCCGTTCTAAAAAACGCACAACTAATGAAAAAGGGAATACCAGGCGATTCCGTAGGAAACCGGTGCGTGGGGCAGTAACCATGTGCGCGTTTCGGGAGAAATGTTGGATGTTTTTGGTTTCGCCAAGGCTTAAAAGGTCAGTAGCTAAAGCTGCGTACCGATCTGAGCAGGAAGAGAGCCTTCAAATTGGGCAAAATGCTCCTAGAATGTTTCTGATTGTGCACTCCGCTATACTTGATGCTCGGGGGCTCCGCGGTTCTCTTGGATGACCTTGTAGTTTTATGCCAGCGAAAAATATTACGCCTTCTCCCATTATCTTCTAATGGGTCACATTGTATAACGACAATGGTATGATTCCCAATTGTGTGGAGCCACACACTGTGTGCACTTCTGCGTAGACCTGTTATTCGGCGCTGAGCATACCACCTGGAGGCACTTTTACTTCCGCTCAAGTATTAAATGTACATAGGCAATCGATCGTGTCATCTTTTGTTCTCCGGGGACTCCTTCCTAGCGCACATTGTACTTGCTTCACCAATCAGCAAACTGTTCACCACTAGCTGCACTACGTCAGCATGGCCGAGGGCTTACCATATACGTTTACGCAGAATTGCACACTTTTACTGCCAAGAGTCAGCATGCCAGAATGCAGAGAATGCAATCTTAAGGCGGTGGCTCTCGTAGGACTACACGAGCAGCGAGAGCACCTGTTGTTCGCAGAGTAGATATGTCTACAACGCGCATCGATAATAGACAGAGCGTCACAGACGCACCATAATATGATATTATTCAATCAATAGCACAGGGACGGGACCATCTCGTAATTGCTGGGAAAGGGAACGGTACACAGCATGCATGCTCACCTCCAGGCGCTCACATGTCTGCTCCCCGTATCGGAAAGACAAACCTCTTTAAATGCGCCGAAGAGTGCAATAATATTTTGCCCCTAGTTATAGTTTGCTCAATTTGAACTAGAATCCTGACTCCTGCACACCATTCATAAGTCATTGTGGGAACGTTTAGGATAGCTGGCGGGTTCAGCAGTGATTGTACCCCCAAGCAACGCGCAAAAGTACTAAGCGTTGGGGGAAGTTAGTGCATGATCCTGAATCTTAAGCAAATGCTAGATGCATTTTCAAGCTTCTTGTAGCCGGAGACTCGGCACAGAGCTACTCCCAAGAATTAGACTCCATCCCGTCCGAAGCGATTCCCTCAAGGGTGAACATTGAAGCTGCCCGAGCCAGGGAGCATACAGCGTCTTAATCGGCTGTGACAACCTTCAGTGCTGCAATTCTGCATTGAAGCGCAATCGACAGGTCGTCATCACGTTGCGCAGAACTCACGGACGAACATGCAAACCGCATACCCTGCCAAGACGCTGCCAGTGGAAACAACAAATGCTGCTCTTTCTCTAAGCATAGGCCAAGAAGGAAGCTTGGGTGAAGAAAAAGCTCTCTTTCTGCCTTCAGGCGGCACCTCGGGTAAAGTTTCGCCGGCCATGAATCAACCTGGCGAAAACTGCAGACAATCTTTGTCCCCCCCACTTCCCAATGAAAACCCTTGTGCTTTGGCCAGGTCGAATAGCTCACTTCCACAGAATCAGATACAGACCCGCGAACAGGGGGTCCAGCCTGTCGTGCTTCACTGCAAGGACATAAACTGTGAGGCAAAAGCCCTTTCCTTGAAGTGGCAGCCCTCCCAATTGACGACCCCCATCACACGTAGAGCGAGCGGTTAGTGCACTTCCCACTTTCCTCATATTTCTGAATCTTCTGCACTGCAGACTCAGTCGCTATTCCACAAGACGGCACCTTCATCTCCAGGGCAATAAAGAGGCTGTGCGCTCGCAAAAAGCCAACTGCAGGCGAAGCCGATGTCGAAGCTGACAAACGCCGAAAGCTTCGAAAGGAAATATTGTGTCTTGATGGCATAGAGCTTGTTTTCAACCCCGGAGATTTTGGTAACACATTTGGCTCCTCGGCTGCAAGGCATACCTTAGCCGCAACTGCGTCTATTGACTGAACTTGAACGACAAGCAAACTGCCACTTGATTTCCCTTCTTTTTTCTGTCTATTTGTACGCAGTTGCTTTGATGGGCAGCAGCGGCGCCGGCAAGTCAACTCTGTTGAACTGCCTGAGTGGCAGAGTCTCGACGGGTTTGCGAGGGGAAGTCGACATGAACGGCAGGCCATGTACACCACAGCTGTGCAAAGAACTCAGCTGTTTTATTCAGCAAGAAGATCTTATTTTCGGATACTTAACGGTGGAGGAGCATCTGCACTTTCAAGTACGCACGGGCTATCACCCGATTTTGATTGCTTATGCCCCTCTATTAGTTTGTCTCAATTTTTACGCCTTTGAAGTCACATTTTCTCCTTTTTCTTCGGGACATCGCCGCTGGCAGTGCTGTTTTGCTTGAACCATGAATGGTTTGTTCTAACGAAGTCTTATGAGTTCCCCGAGCTTTCCTGTTTTTCAATGTGCCACTAAGCTTCTGTTTAGGGGTTCCTTGCGACTCTTACATACATGCTTTTTTCAGGCATCTCTCCGCCTGCCTAAAGGAACCACAAATGCAGAAGTGAAGCGTACAACATCGTGTTTGTTGGAGTCGTTTGGTCTGGCACATATTTCAAAGTCATTTATTGGAGGCCCACACGAGGCTGCCCGAGGGTACGCGGAGTACTCAGACTGCATCTCTTTGGCTTAAACAAAAATCAAATAAACAAAGCGTCTTGTGTTCAACTGACCGAGTCGGTTAAGGAAGCGGAGTACCAAATACTCGCACTGTGTTCTCAGGTCGATTTCGGGTGGCGAAAGGAAGCGGCTTTGCATTGCAAGCGAGCTTTTGAGTAACCCATCAGTAGTTTTTGCAGACGAGCCCACCAGTGGTTTGGATTCCTTCATGGCCAAAGCCGTCTGTGATCAGTTGTATACTCTGGCGGCCGCTGGTTGCACAGTTGTATGCACTATCCACCAGCCCAGTGGTTCTTGTTTCTCTCTTTTTAACAAGGTCGGGCGACTTACTTTGAATTGCTCTGTTAGCTTCTTTTTGCCAGACGTTCCCCCTTGCTGTGTACACCTTTCAATCGAGGAGCTCTTTGGTGTGGGACATATGATGTAGGTTCTTTTATTAGGAGAAGGCCGTGTTTTATACTATGGAGATCGGCTGGCAGCGATTGCCTGGCTGGAACATTTGGGCGGTAAGCCCTGTGAAATTGATGCAAATCCAGCGGAATATATTTTGAAAGTGACATCCCTTCAGCACCTTGACATGACAGCAAAGACGAAGCGCCTACATGAATGGGCTGAAGCATGGAAGCTCAACGGTCAAGCATTCCTCAAAAACTGGGTTAGTTGTTGTTGCTTTTATGCACTGCAACACACTTCTTCGGTACACAGCCATTGCTTTGCGTGGTAGTGCTCTCGCACTCAGAAGCCAGGGTGCATCCTTTGAAGCTGTACACCTTACGGGAAAGGGTGCGGCATTTTGCGCCCAGTTAGTAGCAGGGCCGCAGCGCCTTCCATTCGCCAATATTTTGTGAAATGGACAACGGTGTGCGTTGCAGTAATCTTGTCTGTCTCAGCTCTGTGCTTCGTGCATGTGCATATCGCTTCGGTTGTCGTATGTTGTGTGGGCAGGAAGAACAAGGAAGAGACAACTTCAAGCAGCGCAGCTGCACCTTTTCGTCCATACTCGAGCCTGTGGTGAGCGCTACTATAGAAAGACATGATAATTTTGCTAGAGCCTCAGCAGAATGCCATTCCAAGGCGGCCTTTTACTTTACTTTCCTCTCAGGTTTTGTGGGGTCCTTTTGCTGTGAAGGACTTCGAGCCCTGCCACACTAGCCGCCTGCAGTAGACTGTGCCGAGGCGCGGTGATATGTATGCTGTCTACTGCAGGGAGCTACAAACACCTACAGAGTTGAAGAAGCTGACGGGGAAGGGATGCCTGTGTAAGGGAACGGTAGACAGTGTGGTCGACTTTAAATACCAGCCCAACTGTAAAGGCGTGAAGGAGCAGCATAACCACTCACCTGCAGCGAGGGCTTTTTCCTATAGACGCGGTGAACATATAGCTGATGAGACATGTTTACTGCAAAGTAGAGTCGAGCTCCAGCACCATGGAAAGTCTGTAGGATGTCATCGGAGCGCAGGCAGCGCAAAATCCAATATTAGCACTGTTCAGACTGCATTGTGTACATCTAGGGGCCAAGGAGAGGACTGCAGGGAAAACTGCTTCAGGGTCAGCATTGATGCCAACAAGAATGGGATTGCTGATGCTGTTACGACTCAGCAAAGTGTCTTGAATGCACTAACATCTGTAGGAGCTACAAGAAATGCCCGGAAGAGCAAACGTATTTCACCCTTCACTGAGGCCTGGGTCCTGACAAAGCGAGGACTGCTTTTGCGACTGCGGGACCCATCTACATCGTACATTCGTCTAGCCGCGACTTTAATTACAGCGCTGTTACCCTCATTCATATACTTTCAGTAAGTCAAATTCGCTACCTCTGCAATTTTCGTCATCAAAAACATGACCTGTTTACTTTATAGTACAGGAGTTAAGCAGGCGAAGTTCCAACTGCAGAGGCCAAACATGCTTTTTTGAAGAACAGTGTGCTTGTATTTTTGAAGGATGGGATGGAACCTGGGAGATGCCTGGAATCGTGTCTCCGCATGCTACCAAATCGTATTAACACAGGTACCACCAGGCCCGCCCACGTTCCGCCCAAGGCAGGCCACAATAAAATATGAACTTTCGGTGCTTTCTGTTTTTCTGTTGGCTTTTCTGTTCAGTCTCTCGCATGCCTTTTCAACGTTGCAAGCCTTTTTCCTCAAGCGCGGCCGGTGGCGCAAAGGGAGTATGAGTCAGGTAGGACCACGGTGAATTCTGTATGTAGTTGCACTAGCGACTGAAGAGCTTCATGAAACTCGTTTCAACGGCGCGCATTTTCAATTCATTGGACGTGTAGTTTCCAAGTTTCTTGCATTGCCTAGGATCCAACTGCGTCAGCAGCTAGCTACGCCAAGTGTCACGGGGAAACATGGGACATTCTACTTTGGGTGCGCAGGTGTTATTCGCATGTGGGTGTATTTTATTGGAACGTCGACTAGTGACACTGTATTATTTCTGGTTTTCCCCCTCATTTTTCACTTGTGAGTTTGACCGCCTGGGGTAGGGATGTTTGCAACCCATTCGCAGTACGGCTGCAGTTGTCTAATGAACGTCATGCGATAGGTACGTTGGTTCATTTCATGCGTAAGGCTTTTGCCTCATTTCTGTCCTTAGGATTACATTTTTTATTATGGGTTTGGCTTCCTCGGCCGCCAAATTCTTCCAATCTTTGGGCATCTTGCTACTGTCAGTTCTATCCCTCCAGTCATACGGCTACTTTATTTCTGCCGTTGTGACCGATGTAAGTCAGCAACTTGATAATTCATAAATAAGGTCACCGTTTCGGACCTCCTAATGAGCTGCGCGAGCGCACCTCCCTGTGTTGTTTCTGTCATCTTCATTGCATGACAATTTTTTGCGAGTAGCCTTCCAACAGTCCATCAGCCTAGAGGCTTGAAAACTTTGCAGCCCAAGAACCACTAAGCGACTAGTGGCGCACGAATGGCCGCTTTTCGCCAATTCGTAGACCTCAACAAATAGCTTGCTGGCACTTTTCCCATATATTTTGTCCGGAAGCTGCGTCCCGGAGTATTTCTATGCGTCACATCGTATCTTCGTTCCTGAACAGTACATCTTCATGTGCCCATTCTTTGAAACCAAGACAAAGTCACAATGGTAGAGAAGGAACATTCACCAATTTACTTATCACCGCTGCGCTGCTTCTTTTTCTCCAGGAAGTCGTAGCACTCGCGGTGACGCAGGTCATCCAAGTTGTCCTAGCCCTATTTTCTGGATTCATGACACAGATCGACCAGTTGAGCCCCTTTTTTAGAGTCCTTGCGGTAAGAAAAAAGTCCCAGTTTTTGCACTTCCCTTCCTTCCACGGGGACGTCTTCAGTTTAGTGAAGTGATTTGGCTTCTAGTGGTGCTGCTCCGTTACAGGCGTTATCGCCATTCAAATATGCACTCTCGGCTTTTAGCGTTACGATTCTTGAAAACGAGTACTTCATTGGTGAGGAGGGAGAAAGAGTTTCGGGAGACGCCGTAAGTCCAAGAGGACCCTTCAGCGGGAAAATTTAAGCCAAAGAGAGCTCAACCCCAAAAGAGCTGCATCAGGGGCTTGAATCATTTTCTGTGCTATGTTGTCCACGTAGTTTCTCGAAGGAACATTTGGAATCAAAAGAGAAACATTCGCTTCAGATTTGGGAGCCCTGGTGGGGCTTATCGTCGTGTAAGCTCGGTCATATATTTAGTTTTGTCGATGCAGCGCAGCTCTGTGGATACAGCTTTTACAGAATACAGTCGCGTGCTTTTCTTTTATTCCGCGATACAAACAACACTCCTGGATATCTGCAGGCCCCGCTTGTTAGCCTTAGTGATTATGGAGTGCCTCGCACGGAGAACAAAGGAGAATGCTTGAAGTGAAGTGCAAGCCAAGCTGGCAAGCCAGTCCTCTTTTTGGCAGGCATCGACCTGGTGGCTTCCCGGCACAAGTTTGAAGACTTGACATCCCAATTCGCTTTGGATAGTAGCTTCCTTGACCATCTTTATGCAGCAACAGAGCGACAGACCCGCATTATACGAATCTCAGTTTTTTTGCCTACATCCGACACGCAAATCGTGCTAGCACACTGCTTTCGATATTCCACAACGCATGCTTCTTCTGTGCAGTGTGGGTTTTCTGTAGTTGACATCGTGCGGGCATATTTTCGCCTAAGTCTCGCGGTGTCCAACACGTGAGCTCCCCCAGTTCCTCACTGCTCTTAGCAGTGGCCTCTCAGGAGGCACATTTACTGAACTTCTGTGTTTAGTGGCTGGCAGTCGATGGGAGTGGGAAAGACAAAACCAGAATTTGAAGCAGGTTGTACGAGCCCGCAGTCATACAGAGGAAATGAAGTTTTCCGCATATTCCTTTGCGCATTAGCTGGGTGAAGACCCGTCAGCATCCCAGTTCGCTTTTTCACCAATGGATCTAAGCACGTGGCGTCGACGGGAACCTTGAAGCACCTGCAGACCTGGTACATCCGAAGCACTACAAGCTTCGTAGAGATTTTCATTCTAGGAATTTGCTTGAGCACGGAGATCATACGGAATACATCCAGAACTTTCTGAATTGCGATTCGCACAAGAAGCCGAAATTTTACTTTAACGTAGACAATTCCTTCTACTTCTCTGCATTCATGCGTGCAAACGCTCAAGTGAGGAGTTTATACCGCACATTGGGCTCTTCAAATGGTTGAAACTACGAAAAGAACTTTAACTTCGCCAGCCGCGAAAAAAGCCTCTTTTCTCATCAAGGGCCAGAAGACAGGGCCAGGTGCCTCACTTCAGCCGGTCCAGAAAAATCTTGCATAGCCGTGGGCACCATCAGCCCCCACAGTTACTGGGACCTGATGAGTGGATGATCAGCGCATTTCCTTGGAAATGACTCTACCTGCACCACCCTGTGCCAGCGTCGTCGCCTTATCCGCCGCCCACCATGGTGCAGTTGTCGTACGAAATTGTTTTGTCTATCAGTGTGGTTAAACAGAACGTTTTTACCCTGCACTTCTATGCAGATTTAGGATACCCTTTAAGCTGGCAGTGGCGACAAGGGCCAGACCACTCTGAATACCATGAAAAACCCAACGTCTATTGGCGTATCGCTATTGGCATATCGCTGTATTGGTCTTTGTCAAGTGTGAACCGAAGGTCAGAAAATCTAGCCCAGATCAAGAAGCAACGCTGCTGCGAGTCCATAACTGGAAAGCGGTGCACTTCTGCACATTTCGGCATGCGCACAGGCTACGTATTGAGGAACTAAAATGCTTTAGCACCTATGGATGGTACATTCTCGCTCTTAGGCCAGTCGACGTACACCAAAAAAAGATGAGGAGTTGCTTCTGAAACAAGTGGAAGTGCTTATGGAAAAACTTCCCAGAAAGGTGGTTGAACTGAAGGCAGCATCTTGTGTGTGCAATGCGCTAACTTGCTTGCTGCACTTGCCTATTTCTGAGCAACAATCCGACCTCCTGTTGCGTGTTTTCCCGATAATGACCCGTGGAATTGATTCATTACGACGAAGAAGGTTTGCCGAGACGGAACGGCTGTCGCCTCCACTAAAGTGTGCAATTTGAGCCATATAAGAACTCCTGAGTCGCCAACGCAAAGGATTACGCAGCATCCTCCCGTTTCATACTAACTGCTGAAACATGATGCAGTTTCCTCTTAAATAAAATGGAAAGGACACTATTTGGCACCTCCCCGTCACTACTATTCCTGCTATTCCCTTCGCTAGCATCATTGACCGAAGTCCCAGCAACCTGCCTCTTTGGGAAAGCCTTTCTAATGCCTTTCTGAGTTTATCTTGCTTAAAAATGCCGTATGGAGCCCCCCCGGAACCTCTGACTGTAATCTTTGTAATCTTGCCTTCATAGAAGAGTGCCAAATGCCTCATGGAACTGTTGAACTTAGATCACACGTGTAACTGTCACCGGAATCTGGAAGCACTAAGAATAAACCCGCAGAGAGCAAGGGCGCGGCTTGTACGCATTGTGTGTGTGCTTTCTTGCAGCTCTGAGGTTTTTTTCTCGAATTCTCCCGGTACCTTTCTAAGGAATAAGCGTTTATGACCCATGTATTCAGCTAGGGTTTGGGTTTTCGCGTGATTTAGCGCCTAAAGTGCAAGTTCGTTTTCCCTGTCAGTCGTTGTCGCTGAAGTTCCGAAAATCCCGCGGCTCGCCGACCCACAGGCAGGCGCCTAGCGCTTGGTACCTGGGGTTGAAAGTGCGGAGTTGAGCAGCGCAAACAGCAGGAGAATTGCTTTAAAATAAATTATTCGGTGGGGTAATTCCTGGCAAAACTACTAAACGAGCGCACACTGCCGACTGGGGCTTGCCAGTGGCAGCTTGAGCCGCAGCAGCACAGGAGCTTTAGCTGCTGGGCGAGCGGGAACACGCGAGAGCGCCTCTAAGCAGTTGTCTTCCAATGTTTTAACCCTAGTAAGAAAACCCTAAGCCAGAAATTCTATTTAGGTTGGCTAACCAGCGTTTTGGGGGGAGCGAGGGTTTGTTTTTTTTTGCCTTTCCCTTCTCCGCGGTGGCCGACCCCCCGGCGCCTTGCCTGTGCCACTGGTCTGTTGCCAACGCCCTGCAGAACAAAACCTAGACCCTTCCCTCTCAGTCACAAACCCTTTTTTTAGATTTTAATTCGTGGACAGGAGGTTATTATTCGAGGGAAACGACAGCGGAATCAAGTCACGTCGCAGCGTCGCTTCCCGCAGGCCGCAGTAGGGTTTAGAGTTTAGGGTTTGAGGGTATTTCTCTCTTGCTTTTCAGGCGGAACCCAGCTAAGTCGCTAGCCGTTGACGATGCCTGGCGGTTGCGGAGTGCTTTACTTTGTTGTTAAGCTCTGCCGCCCGGTGGCTTAGGGTTTGGGGCTAGGTTCTAGGGTTTGGAATGAAGAAGAACTATCCGCAAGGTCTTCTCGGGGGCTGGAAGCAACCCCCTCTTTGCGCTTTTTAATCTTTTTATACGATCCGCCTGTCTCGAGGCTTTCTTGCCGCTTTCTGCCGTTTCTTTTAATTCTATTTTAGGTTCCCCGCCGCGGTTACCGCCCTTCCAGGCTCTTATCATTTGGGCTTGAGAACGGGTTTTGTTTGGAGCCACTGGAAACCCTGAAGGCTAAACCCTAAACCCTAAGCCCTAGCTTTATTTCTCTGCTGGCCCTCTCCAATTCCCTTGCTGGGCCAAACTTGGCTGCTGCATTCGGGAAAAGCCGGAACAACAGGTACAAGAGAAGGCGCACATGAAATCAGCATATGCATGCAAAGATATACACAAATGCACGTATTTTTATTTGCGTTCAAATATATATTATATGTGTGTGCACATTCGAGTATGAGAGCAAGTCTATTTGCATGCATTTTCTTTGCCTGTGCATTTCCTGGTCAAGGAAATACATGCCTGCGCGCATGCATGCGGTACATTTCCAGAAAAGTGTGTTTTTGCGCATATCCACACTGTGGGCAGAGTTGCACGGATTTCCGTGCACTGTTTGTTTATTTGTCGTGTTTTTTGCTTCCAAATGCATACATGCAAAGCAGCAAAAATATTTTTGTACAGATGCGAATTTGGACACAAGTCCGGAATCATCTGAAATCTCTTTTTCTGGCTGGAAACGAAGACGTCAGTGAATGAATGACGCGTGCATGCATTTCCAGCTGTACATACACTGACGCCCCGCATGCGCCCAAGTGCAGCTGTTTGAAATACATATTTGCATTTGTGCTTTCCTCTGCTGCTGCAATCGCAGCACAACGGCTCCTTCTGCAGCAAAATGATATCGTCGGCGCTGCAGCGGCTGTCTCCGCTGCAACAGCAGCAAAGTAGCCGCATGTCTCTCTGCTGCGCTGCTGCTAAAGGAATTCTGCTGTCAGCAATTGGAGCTTTTCTTTACTCGTGCACTGGGGTGCTGACAAAGGTGGTTTGTTCGGCCGGGCTCCCCATACTCAACGTAAACCCTAAACCCTAAATCCTAATCCCTAAACACGCCAGGGGGGACCCCAGTCTCATGGCGAACTTTTCGAGACGCGCTTGGAAGAGTCCAGGAGGGGCCAGTTGCTGCTGTTTTTGACGTGGTTGGCTGCTTTTGTTTCGGTGTTGCTGCTGCTGCTGCTGCTGCTGTTGCTGCTGCTGCTGTTGCAGGTCTTGCTTTTTCGGTTTATATTTCAGTCTGTGCTCTGTGTCGTTATTTGTCAAGTCCGCAAAATAAACCCTTTCAAATATCTCCATTACAAAGAACCTCTCGCCAAATTTTTACTCGCCAGAGGGATCATTGCCGTTATCTGCCACGGTCTGCTGCTGCTGTTGCTGCCGCTGCTGCTGCTGTTGCTGTTGCTGCTGCTGGTGTTACTGCTGCTGTTGCTGCTGCTGTGGTTGCTGTGTCGCTGCTGTTGCTGCTGTCAGTGTTGTTGCTGCCGACTAGGCTGTTCGTGTCGCTGCTGCTGTTCGTCCTGTTTCTGCGGGCCGAACTGTCCGTATTGCTGCTGCTGCTGCTGCAGTGGCTGCTGCTGCTGCTGGGTTTTTTATTTTATTTTTAGTTTTTCTTTTTGTCCTTCAGCTCTCTACTATGTTGCTCTCTCGCGCCTGCCTCTGGGAGATGCAGCAGCTGTGGGGCTGTCGGCTACAATTTGGGCCGCTTTTCTTGGGGCTGTAATTCAAAAGGAAGGACTTGGCTGGTATATTGCTGCTGTTGTTCCTGCTGCTGCTGCTGCTGCCGCTGTTTGTGCTGCTGCTGCTGTTTGTGCTGGTGCTGCTGCTGGTGCTGTTTGTGCTGCTGCTATTGGTGCTGTTTGTGCTGCTGCTGCTGTCTGTGCTGGTGCTGCTGTCGGTGCTGTTTGCGCTGCTGTTACTGGCGGTGTTGTTTGTGCTGCTGCTGCTGCTGCTGTCTGTGTTGCTCCTACATTGCTGTGTGTGCTGCCGCTTCTGCTCGTTCCGTTGTTGTGCGTGCTGCTGCTGCTGCTGCTGCTGGTGAGGGAGGGGCGGGCATGTTGAGTTGAAGAGGCACGAAACTGAATGGGGCAACTCGTGCTGCTGGGGGCGGTATTGCTGCTGCTGCTGCTGCTTTTCTGCTGCTGCTGCTGCTGCTGCAGGTTATGGAGTATGGTTTTGGTTTGCTGCCTTGGCATTCTACTCATTGCGAAGCCGGGCCTCATGCACGAGACCCTCGGGGGCGGCAGTAAACCCTAAACCCTAAACCTTAGTCAATAGCACAAGTTAAGCCCTGGATTGTTATTTCAGGAAACATAAACCCTAGCACGTCACGGAGCCACGATGCTGCATCAGGCCAAGAACGAGATTTAGGGTTTAGGGTTTAGGGCTTAGGGTTTAGGGTTTAGGGTTTGTTTGCAGCAATTATCGCCGAGAACTCCAAAAGTGAGATCGCAATGATTGACAACATTACAAAAGGCGGGGCTTTTATCATGCTGGTTGTCGGCGCCTTTCTCCGTAAACCCAAAACCCTAGGCCCCAAACCCTAAACCCTAAGCCCTAAACCCTTAACCCTCATAGGTTGAGCAGGCCTGTCTCCGACCCGATCCTCAAAGAGGAAAGCACTTTCAAAGCGTTGCTTGCAAGCGAGTTGGAACATAGGCTTTAGCCAAAAGGGTCTAGGGTTTAGCGTTTAGGGTTTAGATAACAAATTTCCTATGCAGACTGTAGCCTGTGAAGCTGGGTCGTAGAAGGGGAGTGGAATCCTAGGGTTTCGAATGGGCACACAGGGTTCGGGCGGTTGTATGTGGATTGGGGTCTAGGGTTGAGGGTTTAGGGTTTAGGGTTTAGGGTTTGTGTGGCTGTGGAGGGCAGACGGCGTGTCGTTTGTGCTGGGGCGGCACGTGGCCACAAGGGGGCCCCCTATTCTTTCGGTTTTGTTTATGATGTTTTTTGGTCTTGTTTTCTTTTTGCCTTTGGTGCTGTCCGTTTCTCCATTTACGGCTTCTTTCTTCAAAAGCCTCGAGCCTGCCGAATGGACAGCCCTCATCCGTAAACCCTAAACACTAAACCCTCGCTTCCACGCCCCCTCCGGGGCAGCACGCGCAGGACTCTGTATACCCTCGCCCGCTGAACTCCCTCGAGTTCTTGCTGCTTGCACGTCTTCAGCTGCCAGGTCGACAGACTCAAACCCCTAAACTCTAAACCCTAAAACCTAAACCCTAAACCCTAATGGTTTACGCTTTTTCGCAGTGCTTCCCTGTCTGGGTCTGGGGGCGCAGCTGTGCCTCATAAGCGCTCTAGAGTTTGAGTCTGCTGCAACAATCGCCATTGTCCAAAACCTGGATGCTGTCTTCAGCTACTCCTTCCAAGTAAACCCTAAACCCTAAACACTAAACCCTAAACCCTAAACCCTCGATGCGGTCCCGTGGCGTTGCTCCGCAGTGGATATTTGGTTCCAAGGCCTAAACCCTACTCCCTGGCAGCTCAACTCGTGCGGAGCCAACCGGCTCCAAAACCCCAAATCCTAGCTCCAAAACCCTAAGCCCTAAACCCTAACACTAACCTTGGGAGCTGCTGCTGCGTGAATGCGAGCAGCTGATCATTGGCGAGGGTTTCAATGTAGCCTCCTTGTGTGGGGCTGGCTTGATCGTCTTTTCTGCAATTGTTCTCGCCGTTTTTACCATTAAAAGCTGGATGCAAAGAGAGAAGCAGGCCGCTGCTGCTGCCGCTGCTGCTGCTGCTGCGCTTGCTGCTGCCGAAGCTGGCGAGCTGCAAGACGTGCTTTCCACCCCGCCGCAGGTGGGTGCTGCAGCAGGAGCCGCTGCTGCCTCTGCTGCTGAAGACGGAGCAGTAGCAGAAGCAGCAGCAGCTGAAGCAGCAGCTGCAGCAGCAGCAACAGAAGCAGCAGCAACTGCGGAAACCAGCAGCAGCATCTTTGCACTCAAAGTAGCCGTTGCAATGCAGCAGCAGTTGGTGCAAGCAGAACAGCGAGTACAGGGAGCTTCCTTGGTATCTCCCAGCAGCAGCAGCAGCAGCAGCAGCGGCAGCAGCAGCAAACAAAAAGTAGACAGCAGCGCAAAACTGTACCCTCCTGCTGTTACAAATGAAACAGTAAACACAGCAGCGAGCGACAGCGAGCTCAGCGGCCTCGAGAAAGTAAACCCTAAACCCTAAACCCTCAATGCTAGACCATTGGGGGAGGGTGTGGGGTCTGCAGCAGCAGAGCCGCAGAAACTGGCAAGCAGCCGCAGCAGCAGCAGCAGCAAAGTATTGCATCCCGTAGAGTAGTTTGGTGCAACACAATAAACAGAACAACGAAAACAGCAGCAACACGGCTAGCAGCAATTGCTACTTGTGCTGCAGCAGTAGCTGCTGCTTGTACCGCAGCAGCCACCGCTGCGTCAACAATTTATTAGTTGCTTTTGTTGCCTTGCAAGCTGCGAACCTTTGGCGACATCGTGCTGCTGCTGCTGCTGCTGCACAGCAGCAGCAGTAGCTGCAGCAGTGGCGCTGTGACGGCGCCTCTGGCCGTTACAGCAGCAGGAACTGCTTATAGAACCGCACAGCAGCAGCAGCAGCAGCTCCTGCTGCACGACTTGCTGCTCTGATGCTGGGGAACTTCCCCAGAAACAGAATTACTAAGCGGAGGCTCCGACCAGCTGTTCTGCTGCTGCTGCTGCTGTAGATTCTGCTGCTGCTCTAGATGCTGCTGCTGCGTTAGGTGCTGCTGCTGCTGCATTGCGCCTGCTGCAGCTGCTGCTGTAGTCCTGTAGCGCGGCGGATGCTGCTGCAGCTGCGTCAGCAGTAGCAGCTGCTGCAGCTGCAGTAGCAGCGGCAGCAGCAACTGCTACCGTTGACGCAGCTGCCTACGCAGCGCCACCAGTTCCAGTTGTTGCTGCTCTAGCAGCTGCTTTTGCTGCTGAATGACCTGCTGCTGCTGCTGCAGCCGCTCCTCTAGTTGCTGCTGGTGCGCCTCCTTGCTGCTGCTGCTGCTCCTGCTGCTGCTCCTGCTGCGGCTAACTAGCCGCTGCAGACGCGAGATAGCATGCAGCAGCTTCATCCAATCAACAACTGCTTCCTTCATTAAGATGTCTCCTTTGTACCTGCAGCACAATGTGAGCGCCTAGGGTTTAGGGTTTGGCGCTTCCCATGCTGCTGCTGCTGCTGCTGCTGCTGGGCTGTTAGTCTCCCGTTTCTTCTGCCGCGGGTGCGCAGCAGCGGCAGCAGCACCACCGTAAAACCAACAGCGGCGACCAGCAGCAGCAAGAGAGCAGCAGCAGCAACACCATACAAAAATAGCAGCAGCAGCAGCAGCAGCAGCAAGAGGGTGCAGAGGGTGCAGCAGCAGCAGCAAAAGCGTTTTCATTTTTCCTGCAGCTCCTACCTTGTCGCTCGGGGATGCAGAGACAGATCTTCCTGGTCGTCCCAAATCCCCCAGTACCGCTGCTGCTTCTGCTGCTGCTGCTGCTGCTGCTGTTGCTGCTGCTGCTGTGGCTGCTGCTGCTGCTGAGTCGGGCGTATCGGCTGTGGGGTGAAGTAGAGAAGAGCAGGAAAGGCAGAAACACCGAGGCTGCGGCACAGGGACCTGGCATCCTGCTGCTGCTGCTGCTGCTGCACTTGCTGCTGCTGCTGCTGCTGCTGCTGCTGCGCGCAGTCAAATGCTGCTGTCAGCAGCTTGGGGGGCTGCGTCTTGTCTCTTTTTTGAAAAAGAGATAAAGACAAAGACAACAAAGAAAGAGACCCTCGCTGGCTCTGCTGAAACGCGAGAGCCGCTTGCCGCCACGTTTGCAGCAGCAACCTGCGCGCCCAAACCCTAAACCCTAAACCCTAAACCCTGAACCCTTAACCCTGAGCCCTAAACCCTGAACCCCAAACCCTGAACCCTGATCCCTAAACCCTAAACCCTTAACTAGACCCTAAACCCTAAACCCTGGAGTCTACAAGTAAACGAGGCAGCAGAGGTAAGCCAAGAGTGCAAGAGAGGCTTGGAAGTAACTTTTTCCCTTCTAAACCCCAAACCCTAAACCCTCTGCTTAAGATGCTGCCAGGGGCTATTGATTAGGGTCTAGGGTTTGAGTATTACGTGCTGCTTGAGTCCCATGAGGTGAACAGCAGCACCGCAGCCTCTTGGCTGCTGCTGCTGCTGCTGCTGCTGATGGCTTGGAGCTCTTCAACGCGCAGCAGCTGGACAACATCTGCACGCGCACGCAGCAGCAGCAAAAGTGGAGAGCAGCAGCTGCACTAGCAGCAGCAGCAGCAGTTGAGAGGCGGCAGCAGCAGCAGCAGCTCCGGCAGCTGCCTGCATGAGCAGCAGCAGCAGCAGCGCTAGTTATGGCAGTATCCGCAGTAAAACAGCAGCCGTAACAACAGCAGCACTTGTAGCAACAAAAACATCGGCGGCGGCTGCGGCGGCAGCAACAGCAGCGAAAGCACTTGCAGCAGCAGCAGCAAAAACAGGAAGTGGCAGGGACAGCAGCAGCAGCAAAAGTAGCTACCTCCCTCATCTTTGGCTTCAAGCGTTCCTCGAGGGGTCCTGCGGCACCCCAATTCTAGAAATCCGAGGGCCCCCCAGCACTGCAGCAGCAGTGTGAGAACCACCAGAAGTCCCATAGCCAAACCCTAAACCCTAAACCCTAAACCCTAAGCCATAGCAAATAAAAATCGAATTTCTGATGGACTAATAAAAGAAGAATTGCAATTACAGATATAAGTCAAACAAGACAAAACGATTCCAAAGGAGCTGCTGGGGGCCCCCGGGGCCCCTGCGGGCCCCTGGGGGCCCCGGGGGACCCCAGGGGCCCCACTTACAGATTAACCTAGTACAAAAGAATGCCTTGAATCAAAACCCTTAGACTCTAGATCCTAAGTTATGTAATAAATGCCGTTTTAAGTGTTATTTGGGTATAATTTCACGCCGATCAGAGTGACGGAACCCTGAACCCTAAACCCTAAACCCTGAACCCTAAACCCTAAACCCTGAACCCTAAACCCCAAGAAGCACAAGATCTGAACTCCAGTGCCTGAGCATTCAGCGCCAAACCGCTGCAGCTGTGCTGCCTCCATGGCCCTGCTGCAGCGTCTGCTGCAGCAAAACTCTGCTGCAGCAAAACTCTGCTGCAGCGTCTGCGGCAGCAGCTGCAGCGTCTGCTGCAGCAAAGCTCTTCTGCCCCCTTTGAACTTCAGACAGCGAAATATTGAAGTTTAATTATTTTATTTTCAAAAACTCTTTCTTATCTTCTCCAGCAGCCAAAAGGCACTTCAAACATTTCTTCATAAAGCTGCATTATACTTGACGTCTACGGGGCCCCAATGGCCTCTGCAACAAGGGCTAACTTTGCCTTATGATGGCTTTGGAAGACTTCACTTAGTGACAGTGAAGTATTATATTTCATCTTCCTTTAAATTTGGCAAAGTTTTCAAAGTTATTTCTCTCTTTTTACTAAAAAGCTGACCAAAAGAATAGCTAATTTCTTGATGTTTGTCTGTGTCTTTCCAGGAAACAAAAGAAATGCAAGACACTATTTTAAAGAAATGCCAAAACTAAAGCCCTAAAGTAAAAGCAAATGCCCTACAGCTCCACAGGCCCTAGCGGCACGCTCTAGCTGCGCATTCGCAGCAAGCCTTGCTGCTGCAAGCAGCACAGTCAAAGTTGAAGCTGTAAAAAATCTCTTAAGTTTAAGTTTGTTCTGCAATTTGTGAAAATAAACAAAAAGGGCTTACTAGACTCGCCTTATAGGGAAGGAAAGGGAAGACCAAAACGCCCCATTACCAGTGAGAGGACCCACATAGAACTCTGAAATCGTTTTCTTTGAAAACAGATTCTCGAAACTTAGTTCGAAAAATTAAATTGTTCTAGTTTCCAAACCAGTACCTTCTGCAGCATGCTGCGAACGGCGACAAATAAGGGCCGCAGCCGCGCTGAGCGCACACGGCGTTTACTGGGTTTTCCTCCCGCAGAAGTTAATATTCTTTTTGAAATCTTTTTTGTCGAAATAAAACAGGACTTCATAACCAGAAACCCTTGTGGGCCACTCTTTGGCAGCTTTTTGCTGAAGCCAGTGCTTTTTCTTTCTGAATAAGAGCCATATAAGGCACTTTTGACTTAAGCCGTCCTGCTCGTGTTTTTAAGGACAGTTCTCTAGAGTTATTCCAAAATGGAATTTAGACTAATTACAGTGGCATCTAAGGATATAAAACATCTTTAGCTGCTGCCCTTAATAACGGCTCGCCATGCAACCACGGATCAAGTACCTCTAGGCCCCGGCAACAGATTGAGGGAGACAGCCACCACGCAGCCACCCCGCTAGTAGCCTTTTCAAAAGGTTTTTAATTTCATTATTTTTTAAAGAAAAGAACTTTCCTGCAGGAGAAGAAATAGGCCTTCTGTGATGGCCTCTGTCTGGGGGAACCTGGAGTGCGCAGCGCTCCTTGTAGCCCAGAAATATCCCTCAGGCTCATACAGTTCAAAACGTTGAAAGTAAAAAACAATTCGGAAGTTATTATCATTTAATGGGCTTTACTGACAGGGAAAGCTGGCCAGTGGAGCTCTGCAGGTAGGAAAGAACTGCTGTGTCTTTGGGAATTTGGCCAAGAAGGATGTTTTCTTAACTCTTTTAATGTTTTAGAAATGACTTCTGTGAGCTGTGACAAGTGTAGGCATCCGTAACCAGAAGCAGAAAGACCAAAAAGCAAGAAAGTGGCAGCCCCGAGTTTCGCTCACTTAAAAGACCGCCATGGGGTCGACCGGGCTTTGGGCAACAGGCAAAAAATGTTCAGTTTTTGCAAAAAGCTCAAAAAGACAAAAGTAGGTGGACCATCTGGGTTCTCGGAGATCCCAGGGAACCTCCAAAAGGCCCCAGGGGGCTTCCTTGCTGGGGGCATGCATGCAGCTGCAAAACCACGGGGCTCTTAAGGACTTTTTGAAATCTTCTCAAGGAAGTTTGGAGGCTTACTGCGCTCTGCGCTGCCTTGGAGTCAGTGTAGCTTCATATTTTACATTCCCGCCAAGAAAAAGTACTTCTGGACTTGGGCTCTCAAGCAAGTCTTGGGACCCTCTCCTTGTTGGGCCTGCAGAAAGTCTCCTAAGCCTGCAGCTTAAAGATTGCTTTTTGCTGCAGCACTGCTGCTGTAAAGCACTGCAGCTGAAGTTGAGTCTGTCTCTGCTGCTGCCGCCGTATGCCTCCTTCAACTGGATAACTAAAAAGACAATTAACAGAAAAAGAGGCCCTTTTCTGTGCGGCCCCAGGAAAAAAGACTTTGCTGCTTTTGTGCCTTTGGCGAGAAAATAGAGAAGTTAAAGCTCCCCGAAGTGACCCAGGAAAAGAATCGAAAATGAAGACAATCTAGTTAAGAAGACGTCTAGAAGACTTGAAGGGAGATTCAAGAAGAATTGAAGAAGCACAGAGAGAGGACCTCGGGATTCATCAGAGATCTCTACATTTGCAAAAAGCCCCAAAAACCTCACTCGCCGCATGCAGAACTCATGCATTCCTGCTGCTGCCACTGACAGCCACACGCTGCAGCAGCAGGAGGCCCAGCAGCAGCAAATGGGGGAATTTTTGTGACTTTTCAGAGAAGAGACAGCAGCAAAAAGGAGACTGGAGATTCAGAGAGTTGCCGCGGCAAAGATGCAGCAAAAGACAAGCCAGGAACAAGCAACAAGGCAGTGTTGCCAGCAGCAGCAAAAGAGCTTTTAATTTCCTTTTTTTACTGCTTCCTTCCAGGGTGCCTCTGACCGAAGCACAATTTCTCTCTTTGTTGGCGAAGTCCAAAGGCTTCCTCGGTGCCAAATCTAAAAGGGAAATACAAATAGCAGCAGCAGTAGGTGCTGCGTGGCTAGCTACCTAGCTAGCTAGTTCAGCTGGAGTGGACACTTAGCTGGCTAGGCAGCTAGCCAGTTAGCTCAGTGGCAAAAGCTGCCCAGCTAGCTGGCTACGCAGTCACTTCCATTCGCCCAGATCGCGAGCTCGCTAGCTAGCCAGTCAAATAGATCTGGCTAGGTCTCAATGGAAAGCATTCGGCTAGCCATTTGCTGCCGCGGCAGCAGCTAGCTATGCGAGCAGCTAGCCAGCTACTCTGGTAGCCAGCTAGCTGGTCAGGTAGCCAGATTGCTCGTCAGATAGTTAGCTAGCTCTTCCGGTAGCTAGCTAGCTCGTCAGGTAGCTAGCCAGCTAGCTAGCTAGCTGCCCGTGTAGCCGGCTAGGTAAGAACCACCCCAGAGGCTAGCTAGCTGCAGTGTTCCTCTAAAGACAAAACCCCAACTTTTCATTTTCGATTTTTGTTAAGAAGACAAACTAAGCAGCAGCGCCTTCAAGAGAGAAGGCCAAAAGCCAAGAAGGCCAATGAGGGGTTTCCGGGGGCCGCATGCACTGGGGTTCCCGAAAGCTAGGGGAACATAAACATAGCTCTTCACGAACTGCTGCTGCTGCTGCTGCTGCTGCAGAGGAATTAGTTGGTGTTGCAGCAGCTGGCGATCGGTGCTGCTGTCTCGGGGCTTCTCTGGGCTTGTGGGGCTGGAGGCGAAACAATGTGAAGTTAAACCTTTTCCTGTTCTGTCGAATGAGGCAAGAACTAGTTGTAAAGGGTGAGGTGTACATACACCTGAAGCTGGCCAGACACTGGAAGGACAGCGGGCGAAAGCGGTTGCGGCGGCCAATTCGGGCCGCAGACTTGTGTCTGGCGCATCATTTCATTAATTTAATGTTTTAAAGAACTTATTTAATTCAGTTGGCCTCGGATTCTGTCTAAACAGAAGCTAGCAGGACTGCTGCTGGCAGCAGCGGTGGCGCTGCGGGGTTGCGGGAGGCTCGGGGTGGTTTGCAGGTCTTAGGGTTTGTTGAGGGTTTAAAATGCGAAATAAATGCACAAAAGTCCGTCGAGTGTACAGACAGGTCGCAGCAGCAGCAGCAGCAGCAGCAGCAGCAAACCTACAGCCTCCCTCAGGTGTCACTACACCCCAAAGCCAAAGCCATCCCCTGGCTCTCTCTTGCCTCTTCTTCTCTTTTAGAGGCGCCTTTGCGTTAAAGTTCTAGTTCGGGGCCGCGGTTTAGGCTCAGGGTTTAGGGTTTAGGGTTTAGGGTTTCCACTTGCCCCAGCGCCAGGTGTACGTACAGCAAACCCTAGACGGTGGGGCGACGAGACTCCCAACTCTCTCACTAGCGACCAACAACAGCTGTTTTATGTTTCTTTTTGCATCTAAGTTAGGGTTTAGGGTTTAGGGTTCGGGGTTTGGGGTTGGCTTCGCTGGAGGCCAGCTGCTCCCAGGTCACAGGGTCGCAAACTGCGAGGGTTTAGGGTTTAGGGTTTAGGGTTTAGGGTTTGCATGCACTCTCCCTCTCGTAATGGCTGCTGCCCCCCACCTACCAGAAGATCTGCCACCCGCAGCAGCAGCAGACAAGCCAAACCCTTGGGGCCCCAGACCTGGGGGCCCCCTGCGGGAGCGTGACTGACAGCAGCAGCAGCACAAGCAGCAGCAGCCGCAGCAGCATCTCAAACAGCTGCAGCAACCTCAGGCAGAAGTACTCGGCGAAGACCCCGGAAGCAGCAGCAGCTGCAGCCGCAGCACCAACAGGAGCAGCAGCAGCAGCAGCAGTCGCAGCAGCAGCAGCAGCTCGCTTCTCACTTTGCTGCAGCAGGCAGCTGTTGCTTCGGGGCTTCTGTGATGGGGTGTGTTTCCCCTGGTTGCGGAGCGCTAAACCCTAAACCCTAAACCCTAAACCCTCGGTGGTGTAAAGGGTTTAGGGTCATGAGAACAAGCCACCGGATTTCCTCAGCAGCAGCGATTGCAGCAGAGTCTGCTGCTGCTGCTGCAACTCCCTCGCGAGCAGCAGCAGCAGCAGCAGCAGCAGCACGCTTTGGCCGCACAGGGCCTCCACGCTCAGCAGCTCCTTCTCTTCCTCCTCCCCGCAGAAACGGCAACAGCAGCAGCAGCAGCAGCAGCAGCAGCAGCGTCTCGTTGAAGACTGTGCGTGCTGCTCCTGCTAGCAAGTCTCCTGCATTTAAAGTGGGACAGACACGAGCAGCAGCAGCAGCAGCAGCAGCAGTAGCAGCAGCGGCAGCAGCTGCTGCAGCCGCAGCGCCAGCAGCAGAAGCGACTCTGCAGCAGCGCAGCAGCAGCAGACTGCATGGCCTGCTTACTGAAGCCCACGGCTCCCCAACCTGCGGCGGCAGCAGCAGCAGCAGCAGCATGAGCAGCAAGGGCGAGTTCAATGCAGCTCTGCAGCAGCTCTCGCATTCGCTTAATGCTGATGCCCCTGCAGCAGCAGCTGCAGCAGAAGCAGCAGCAGAAGCAGCAACAGCAGCAGCAAGGGGAGATTCACCGGTCTCTCGAGAAGAGCAGCAGCAAATGAGTGTGGACAACAGCCATGACTTGTTCGGTGACTCAGCTGCAGCAGCAGACACAGCAGCAGCAGCAGCAGCAGATGCGGATGCAGCATCAGTTGCTGCAGCAGACACAGCCACGGAAGCGGCAGCAGATGGGGCAACCGAAGCAACAACAGACGCAGCAGCAGACACAGCAACAGAGGCTGCAGCAGACACTGCAACGGAAGCAGCAGCAGACACAGCAACAGAAGCAGCAGCAGACACAGCAACAGAAGCAGCAGCAGACACAGCAACGGAAGCAGCAGCAGATGGGACAGAAGCAGATTTAGACACAGAGGAAGCAACATACCAGGAGACCCTGGACAGCGACCCCGAAGCAGCAGCAGCAGAGCAGCAGCAGCAGCAGCAGCAGCAGCAGCGCAGGCTGTCTTCCAGGCGCCGCCAGGGCACTCCCGTGGCAGTAGCCCGCAGCAGCAGCCGCAGCAGCAGGGGCTCTTCGGCCCGCAGCTCAGCAGCAGCAGCAGCAGCAAAAGGAGACAGAGACACTGCATCAGACGGCTGTGGGGCCCCACACGAGGCCCCAGCTTCCTCGAGAGGCAACGCCGACCTTGTGGCCCTCAACAATGCAGACCGAGGTGAGTCTGCTGCTGCTGCTGCTGCTGCTGCTGCTGCTGCTGCTGCTGCTGCCGCTGCTGCTGCTGCTGCTGCTGCGGCTGCTGCTGCTGCTGCACCTGCGGCTGCTGCATG